ACCAGTTAATGGGTCAATGAGTCGGTCGAACAATGAGCCCACCATCAACGTCCCATTCTTCGCACTCCTCTTCCTTCTCTTCGTCATTCGTGCTCCACCTGCTCCTTCTACTCCCGCCTCTCCTTCTTCTCCGCATCCTCCTCCGCATCATGAACATCAGTATCATCAGCAGTATCGTCGTCAGCATCATCATCATCATCTTCATCATCATCAACATCATCATCATCATCATCATCATCATCACCCCTCTTCTCACACCTCCTCCTCCTCCTCCTCCTCTTCCTCTTGATCATCCGCATGATGATGGCTTCACCATCATCACCAACATCGCCATCTGCATCAACATCATCATCAGCATCATCATCGTCAGCATCACCTTCGCCATGTGTCAGTACCATCGCCATACGTCGTTCGCACCATCACCGTAATCGTACTCATCATTTTTCCCGTAACCACAAGCATCCCATGGCAATCATCCACATTCCGTCTCCGCCACCGCCGCATCCTCCCACGTGCGGGCCGAGTGGGATGACGTCGCTGGAAACAATGGGCCACCAAAGGGCCACGGCAAACGTCTGTCTTTGCTCCATTGGCCAACCGAGTGACCCGCTCATCCTTGAACGGTCTCTGCTGCTGAGAGGTCCCCAGAAGCTCTCGATCTCGCCCTCTGCATGGATGTTGTCACGAGCCTGCTGTACTCGGATTGTTTACGGTAGTTTTCGAAATCGTGATCTCGCCTGGGGCGTCAGTACAGGGAACGGCCCACAAAGAAGGCTCCAACGGCTTCAGGGGAAGACGGGGAGTCTCCTCAACTTCGCGCTCTGGCCGAAGGTTAGATTTCACCATCAGTTCTGAGCCTTACAGCAGCTTCCAGCCGCTACAAGCATGTAGGGGTAGTCATTGCCAAATCCGCAATCTGACTTGAGGAGTCCTTGCGTGTCATGTTCCTGAAGCTCAGGGCTTCCACCACTTGTGCAGATGATGGGCTGGTTCTGCTCAGACCTGCACTCTGGTTCGAAGCTCATCCGCAGATCTGTCTAGAACCATACGATACTCTAAAAACTCGAAAGATGGATGGCGGCTCCTTTCCACACCTCTCAAGCGTTCACATGAGTTTCCTTTCGGCTTGCAGCCCTAGATCTTCCCACACCTGCGGGGATGGATGACAGTTTTTCCATATTCAAGCTTCGCGTTGGTATCTCTCCGAGGATAAGGTGCTGGAGTTCAACATGTCCATCTGATACTCAGATGGGCGGCGGACCTTGTTTTCAGATTCGCGAGCTCGCGTGCAACGTTAACCATTGCTGTCAGTGTCAAACCTGAAGGCAAATCGTCTTCAGATATATGCGCTGACGGGCAATGAATGACGCGCAATGCTTCAAACCATGATTCAATTCATGCGTCGGCTGCTATCCACAATAGAAGTATCGCCGGCATTGAACACATTATCTCCCAGGTCTGCACCGTGTTCGGGGACGGAGCGATATACCATCTCAGATGCATGCGGCCAAGAACTGTTGCTTAGCGTGTCGCGGCGGCCTCCCTGGCGACACGCTATGCCCTGCAAACGGCTAGCGTGCCGATCCGTTCTGCGGAGAGGGAGACGCCTGGGGACTGGGAAGCGGTTGGCGTGTCGACCCGATACGTGGTGGGGCAGATCCGGCGACGCGACACTCTAAGCAGCGTTCTTAACCGCAGTTGCACTGCGACGTGATGCTGACGAATTGTGATAGGTATACTGGCTCGCGCTGTAAGAGACTGTACGATCAAGCCCATCCAGGGACCAGTTCGTGTAGCGGCTGAAACACATAATGCAATATTTCTGGCCTTCGTAGTGAGCCGACATGTCTCTACCTGTTCAATTGAAAGCGGCTCGGGACGGCATGATGTACTGCAGCATCGGTGGCGCATGCTCGTTTTAAAAATTGTCCTCATCAATCTAGTCCCTCTATTCCTCCACCCTCATCCTACACTTCCCTCCTCCTCCTCCTCCTCCTCCTCCTCCTCCTCCTCCTCATCATCATCATCATCATCATCATCATCATCATCATCATCATCATCATCAGCATCACACGCCCTCATCATTTAATTCTCGCCCTCTTCCACATCCCAACGATTCCTCCTCATCATCGACATCACCACCACAATCATCATGATCATCCCTACTTGTGTCTCATCCCTCCTGCTCCCGCTTCCCCGCCTCCCCCTCCTCCTGCTGATTCTCCTCAAGATCCTCCTCCTTCCCATCCTCCCTCTCCTCCTTTCCTCCCATCCCGCCTACCTCCCCCTCGCTCACTCACTCACTCGTCCCTCCTCGTCCACTCCCTCCTCCTCCTCCTCCTCCTCCTCCTCGTCCCCCCTCTCTCCCAGTCGTTCCTCTCGTATGCTCGCCGCCGCGTCCCAGGGCATGCGAGTTCCCTTGGGGCATACTTGGGAGCGGCAGTGCCCAGGAGAGTCACCAAGTGCATGGTGGACCCCTCGGTCTACGCTTAGGTCGGGCCTGTCCCCCTGCAGAGGATGTTGGGCGAAATGTCCCAAATACTCTAACAACACTCCCAAAAGATTCAAACATTGACCAGCAAAATCGTCCCAATAGTATGTTTTAACTACTGTGGACTCTTCCTCCCGTAGAGGGACAGGCCCGACTTACGTCTGCGCGCCCCGCGTGGACACCCAGCGTGGGGCCGGGAGCCTGCGGCGCCCCAGGGAGAGGGGGCAGAGCGCAGGGGAAGGCTACGGCAGCTCGCCGCCCCGCGGCCCCAGCTCTGCGGCATGAAGCGGGGCGCGAAGCGGGGATTTGTCCATATCCACCGCCCAGGGACCGACGTCCCGGTGCCCCAGCCGGCGGTGGATGTGGATGTACTTCGGCCCCCGGGGGCCCGAACATGTCCATATCCGCCGCCTGCCGAGGCTCCGAAAACTGACCCTTCAGGCGGTGGTCACACACAAATTCCCGCCTCGGACAGGGGCCCCCTCGGCCAGCGGCGGGCGCGCGCCCAGTCGTTGGGGGCAGCAGCGAAGCTGGTCATCAGCTGCAGTGCGGAGACCAGCCGTGCGTGGGAGCTCGCGGGTCAGATCCTTAGCGAGGGGGGAGCAGAGCCTTTCGCGGGTCAGTTTCGGCATGGGGAGCAGGTCGTGCGAGAAGGCAGGCAGTGGCAGCGTGAGCTGTTACCGCAGACGGGAATCGAGCAAGACTCACCTCAGCTACGACGCAGGGTTCAGCTCGTGAGCACCGAAAACTCGTGGGACAGGTCCTCGGCTACAGTGTGGGGACCGTTCGTGCGAGAAGGCCGGCAGTGGCAGCGCGCTCTGTTACTGAGCCGGGGCACGCGAACCATATCTCCGCTCCACGGCGGGGGTCAGCTCGTACGAAATGCGAGAAGGGTGGGCTCCGGGAGAAGATACTGGAGCCAGACGCCATCTGCTACATGCAGGGGCACGCGGGTGCGACAAAGGCGAGCAGTAGCAGCATCACACGGGGCACGGGGCGGTTTGGATAACAGATCTGGGGCCTGACGTCATCAGCGACACTGGGGAAAACAGTACGTGCCAGAAGGCAGCGCAGCGGCCGCAATCACCGACGCAGCAGAGCGAGGTCAGAGAACTTCGAAAGCCTGACGTCATCAGCTACACTGAATGCCAGCGTGCGTGCGACGGACAATCTCTGGAACAGACTGGAGCCATACGCTATCGGCTGCACTGCAGGGGCAACCACATGTGGAAAACAACGAGCAGAGGCAGCAAGGGACGGCGGCTGACGCCATCAGCTACAGCACGGGGGCACGAGCGTGCGAGAAAGGCGAGCAGGGGGAGCTTTGGGCAGGGCGAGAAGAGATTTGGGAGACAAATCTGGAGCCTCACGCCATCAGCTTCTCTGGGGGTGCCAGCGAGCGCGAGAAGGCCGAGCTCTGCGTGTTAAAAGCTGGAGCCAGGCGCCATCAGCTACAATGCTGTGGCAAGTGGGCGTGACAGCGAGCCGTGGCAACAGCGGACGGGGCGCAACGTGATTTGGGACGCACGTCTGGAGCCTCACGTCGTCAGCTACACTGGCAGTGGCAGCAGTGGTGGGAATCTGGCTCTGGCGCTACTCAGCATAATAAGAAAGACGAAGCTGGGGCCCGAGGTCATCACCATAGCGCCCGATAAAACTCAACAAATGTGGAAGGCGATGGTAGAGCCCACTCTCAGTTACTACTCTGGGGATGAGAATCGCGAAGTTGGAGCCTGGTGTCATTAGCTACCACGTTGGGTGTAATACATGCGAGACTGACCACATTGAGCAGCATATCAGCGACAACGCTGAGATCAGCTCATGCGGCGAAGGCAACAGATAAGCACACATGAGCTACAATGCTTGGATCGGCAGGTACGGGTAAGGCAACGGTCCTCAGTCGTGCGTGGCCCCTTGCGAGCAGCTGGAGGAGCAGCTGCATCCATCAGGAGCGCCATTGTGAGTTCAAATTCGCATGTCGCGAGGAGTCGTGCTTCGTGTTCCCCATCGGAGTATTGATTTAAGTAGAACAATCCAGCACATTCCCCTCTCTCCCGGAGGGCGATGACGACGAGCGCGACCACGACGACGACGACGACCACGACCACGACGACCACCACCACGACGACCACGACGACGACAACGATAACCACCACGACCACCGCGACGACGCCGCCGCTTCCCACGTGGCACACCCGCGCAACCGCCCACGACCGCCGCCGAGGCGGGGCCGCTGGAGAGGGCCGACCCGTACCATGCCGCTCCAGGCAGGCAGGCAGGCAGGCAGGCGAGCGGGCGGGTCGGCGGGCGGGCGGGTGGGCGGGCGGAGGAGGAGGAGGAGGAGGAGGAGGAGGAGGAAGGTCAAGGAATAATTGGAATGGGGCGGCGGCCTAGATTTAGGTGGTGGAGGAGGAGCAGAATGAGGAGGAGGACAAGAAGGTGGACAAAAACACGAGGAGGAGGAGGAGGAAACAGGTCATGGATCGAGAAACATGGGGCGGCGCAGCATGAGACAGAGGAGGAAGAGGAGGAGGAGGAGGAGGAGAGGAGGAGGAAGAGGAGGTGGAGGAAGAGGTGGAGAAGGAAGAGGTGGAGAAGGAAGAGGAGGACAAGGACGAGGAGGGGGAAAAGGACGAGGAGGAGGACGAGGAGGCGCCGCTCTCCGGGCAGGCAGGCGCCCGCGCAGGCCCGCAGCATGGGGAGGCCGCCACACCGGCGGAGGCCGCCGCGCGCTCGCGGGGGGGGGGGGGCGCGATGTCCCCTGTCGCTCGGGCATTTCGGGCCCGAGAACGGCAATGTCAGCTGGATCCTCCTCCTCCTCCTCCTCCTCCTCCTCCTGCTCCTGCTCCTCCTCCTCCTCCTCCTACTCCTCCTCCTCCTCCTCCTCCACCTCCTCCTCCTCATCCTTCTCCTCCATCTCCTCCTCCCCTTTGTCCTCTGCCCGTTTCACCTGTTCCTCCTCCTCTCCTCCTCCTCCTCCTCCTCTTCCTCCTCCTGCTCCTTCCTCCTCTCCTCCTCTCCTCCCCTCCTCCTCCTCCTCCTCCTCCTCCTCTCCTCCTCTCCTCTCCTCCTCCTCCTCCTCCTCTCCTCCTCCTCCTCCTCCTCCTCCCCTTCGTCCTCATCCTCCTCCTCCTCGTCCTCCTTCTCCTCCTCCTTCGCCTCCTCATGTTCCTCCAATTCGTCGTCCTCCTCCTCCTCCTCCTCCTCCTCCTCCTCCTCCTCCTTCTCCTCCTCCTCCTCCCTCTCCTCTTCGTCGTCGTCCCCCTCCTCGTCCTCCTCCTCCTCCTGCTCCTCCCTGGGGGAGTGAAGGGGAGGGAGGGAGGGACAGAGGAGGACTGGGAAGAGGAGGAGGAGGAGGCGGAGGGGGAGGGGGAAAGAGGGATCCAGAGCAGGAGGCGGAGCCTGTACACCTACGCACATACACACCCACGTACACATCTGCACACCTGCACACCTGCGCACAAGCACAACCACAAACACAAACTCAAACACAACACATAGACACCACCAACAGCATTACGTAACACAAACGCAAGCACAAGCGCAAAAGCACACACACACACACCCGCACACGAACACACAGTTTCATAATTTCCCATGGGGAAGCACGTGTGCTGAAAGACTCGTGGAAACGTTGGCTGGAAAGCGAGTGCGCCCTTCTTATGGTAACCGCTGTTCTTCTGGCCACTCCTGCTGCCACTGGTCCCACTGCCTTGCTTGCGTGCCTAACTTTGATCTGCAACCAAGGGCCCCGTACATCTGGAAACTGCCAAAATCTACAAGGCATCGCTCAACTACCTGACGCTGGGGTGCTGCAACCCGACTTGGCCGGCTTCGGAACTGATCCCCATAAGTTCCTCAAGCTGCTGGCCCTCGACTGCCCCGACGCTGCTGCAGCCTTTCGCGACCGAGGGCTCGTGGCTGCGACACAGGCGGTGCCGTCTGGCGGCGAGAGGGGCTCCCCTCTCCTACGGGCTTCGGGCAGCCGCACCTATGAGCAGCTGCGGCCAAGGCACGTTCCAAAACGCTAGAAGACATTTGGGGACGCAGCACCAATGCCACAGAGCCGCGTTCTGGACCTACCCCGACGTCCAGCCAGGGGGGACGACGGGAACCAGGAGGCGGATAAAGAGGAGGAGGAGCAAGAGGACGAGGGTGAGGAGATCGAAGACGAAACATAACATTCCCACCACTAGCCCCAGGCGCGCCCGCTGACGAGTATGAACATGGCGGCGCAGCGGGGAGGAGAGGAGAAAGGGAATGACGAGGCGGAGAGAGGAACGAGGCCGAGGGGGAGTGCGGCGACGAGGGCGAGGATGGGGACGAAGACGAAGAGAACGTGGACGAAAACAAAAGAGAAGGACTGGGGCGAGGGCGACGACGACAGCGTCGACGACGTCGCCCCTCCCCCCTCCCCGCGGGGCCGACTCCAGCCGAAGGTGCCGCATCGACACCGCCAGGCCCGCGCCTCGCCTGCCGTCGAACTCCACCTGGCACCTTGGCGCGCGAGGGGTGGGGGGTCGCAGAAGAAAGGGGGGGAAAGGAGGAGGGAGGAAGGCAAGAAAAAGGAAGGGGGAGGCGGGGAGGGGTGGGGAGGGGGAGGAAGACAGGGGAACTTGCAATAGACGGGCGTGGGAGGAAGGAGGAGGAACGGGGGAACGGGATTGGGATGACTGGGGGGAACGAGTCACTATAGTTTTGTTCCGCGATGTCCAGCTGCTTCCACGGCCTGCTCGGGCCATATTTGGCAGTTTCAGTCCAGGAGGCCGGCGGGGGAACGGGGGGCACGTCACCTTTTCGCGGTGCACGTGGCGAGGCGGCCCGGATGCAAGAGGCGGCCCTCGCGCCACCATCGACACGAAACAGCTTAACACTTCGGCTCGATCAGGACTCCGCGCCGAAAGCAGCGAGGGTCATCAGACCAATCTTATCGGACTAGGGGGCATAAAATCCATGTGGCGTTCGAACGGCAAACTCGGAGTTGGCGTGCACCTCCAGTGGCCAGGTCCCCCATTCCAGGCAAGCGTGTTTCAGGACAAACGCAATAGCCGCAAACTTGAATGTGGTGATGGCGGCGCGAGGGAGGGGGCATGAGAAAGGATCGTATCATCCCACCGGGTATGCGCCCATCGTGGGAGCGTCCAAACTCCCGTTCCCACACGACCAGAAAAAAAAACCCAAGCGGCCTTATCATAAAATCCTTCCATGGGCAAGCCATCCACGAAGACGGTCGCACTCGCGATATGGTTGCGACTGCGACGGTGCGGGCATCGCCCCTTATGCCCACCGCGCAGCCAGAGGCAATCCCCCGACGTGCCGAGACGAGGCGAAGGCGAGGGGTAGGGTGAGACATGGCCAAGCATAGACTAAGAGAGGGGGCGTGGGTCACACCAGCGATACGGAGCTCTCCTGAAGCAAAAACGTTTGTGGACGCCTCGGGCCACATAGGCCCGCGGGGGCCGGTCCCCGGGGGGGCGGCGGCGAAGCGAGCTCGGCATCGACCTCGCAATTACTCGCGCGCGCAAACGAGTCAATGCCACCACCCATGACGCTGCTGCCATCGCCCGCCGCATTAGGTGAGACTGCAGTGAACACCTTGCGCTCTGAGCCTGCCCGACGGCAGGCATGCCGGTCGCTTCCCAAAGAGGCCCTCTGAGCCCAGAGGCGGAAGTGGAATGGGGCGCCACCGACCCCTCCGAGCGCGGTGCCGTGCGAAAGAAATCGCACTCATGGGTTTCACCCCCAAGGGGCAGAATCCCCAAGGCCAACGTCAAAAACGGGGTCCCCAGGAAGGCCGCGCGAAAATTGCCCCGCACGGGCCTCAACAGCAAAACTAGCGCGGGGAGATGGGCGTGAAGGTGGGGCGAGTGATTGCTCTCAGTCTCGGGGCTCGTCTTCGGGAGGAGGGCCCTTGCGCCCCTTTGAGATTTTTCCCCTGGCCCCGTCTTGGGAGCCGACCGATTTTTCGCGGTGGCCGCCGGAGCGGTTCGGAGCGACATTCTAAGCTTCTTCCGTTGTTTGAATTGTCCTGGGCGCTCCTCCAGGGGGTCCACCGCGCAATGTCGCGTGAACTCTTGGGCCAGCTCTGGGGCCTTCTAGACGGGGGGGATTCCCACCGACCCCTCCTCCTCCCCCTCCTCCCCCCCTCCTCATCCCCCCTTCTTCTTGCTCCTATACTTCGGCCTCGGGCCGGAGATGAGGGCCCAGGATGGACGGCGCGCCCGTCGGCGGCGCGCGCCTTCTTGCGGCGACGACGCCCTGCGAAAGCAAGCGGGGGCTCGGAAATCCAAGCGGGGCGGGGGGAGGCGCGCGCGGGGCGGCGGGGGGGGAGGAGGGGGGGGAGGTACCGAGGTGGAAGAGGAGGAGGAGGAGGAGGCAGGGGGAGGGGGAGGGGGAAGGAGGAGGAGGGGGAGGAGGAGGAGAGGGACGTAGAGTGAAGAGAGAGGGAAGGGCGGCACCGAGGAGGGCGGAAAAGACGCAGATCAGCAGGGCCGAGAATGAGGCGGAGGAGGAAAAGGGAAAGGATGGCGGGGGCGAGAGCGGGCGCGAGGGCGGGCACGAGGTCGGAGGACCGAACAAGCGGCCCAGAGAGGGAGCGAAAAGGGAAGGAACGAGGGCGGGAGCGAGGGCGGGAATGAAGGCGAGAACAAAGGCGGGGACGAGGGCGGGGACGAAGGCGGGAACGAGGGCGAGACCGAGGGCGGGAACGAAGGCGGGAACGAGGGCGGGAGCGAGGGAGAGAACGAGGGCGAGAACGAAGGCGGGAACGAGGGTGGAAACGAGAGCGAGGGCGAGGGCGGGAACAAGGGCGAGAACAAAGGCGGGAGCGACGGCGGGAACGAGGGCGGGAGCGACAGCGGGCGCGAAGGCGAAAACGAAGGCGAGAACGAAGGCGAGAACAAGGGGGCGGGAACGAGGGCGGGAACGAGGGCGAGAACGAGAGCGGGAACGAGGGCGGGAACGAAGGCGGGAACGAGGGCGAAAACGAGGGGGGAGCGAGGGCGGGAATGAGGGCAGGGGGCCGCCCCTGGACGCCTCCGGGATTCCGCTGGGCGCCTCGGGAATTCCCCGGGCGCCTCCGGGGAACCTCTGGGGAACCCCCGGGGAACCTCTGGGGAACCTCCGGGGAACCTCCGGGGAACCTCCGGGGAACCTCCAGGTAACCTCCGGGGAACCCCCGGGGAACCTCTGGGAGGCCTGTTCGAGGTCTGTTTGAGGTCTGTTTGAGGTCTGCTTTGGGCCAAACTCTGATTAAGGTCTGTTTGAGGTCTGATTAAGGTATGTTGAAATATTTTTGAGGTCTGGCCGGATCTCTGAAGTCTGTTTGAAGTCTGGCCGAAACTCTGTTTCAAGTCTGATTTCCCCGGGCTGCCCTTGGGCTCGAGGGCCTCCAGGCGGCCCCGGAACGAGGGCGAAAACGGTGGCGAGAACGAGGGCGAAAACGAGGGCGAGAATGAGGGCGGGAACGAGGGCGGAAAAGAGGGCAAGAACGAGGGCGAGAACGGGGGCGAGAACGGGGGCGGAAACGAGGGCGGGAACGAGGGCGGGAACTAGGGCGGGAACGAGGGCGGGAATGAGGGCGGGAACGAAGGCGGGGACGAGGGCGAGAACGAGGGCGAGAACGGCGGCGGGAACGAGGGCAAGAACGACGGCGGAAGCGAAGGCGAGAACGAGGGCGGAAACGAAGGATGGAACGAGGGCGGGAACGAGGGCGGGAACGAGGGCGGGAACGACGGCGAGAGCGAGGGCGGGATCGAAGGCGGGAGCGAGGGCCCGAGCGATAAGGGAAGGTGGAAGGATAAGGGAGGGGATAAGGGGAGGAGGGCGAGGAGGAAGGGGAAGGGGAGGGACGGTGGAGGATAAGGGAGGGCCGGGAAGAGGGGGAGGAAGGTGGAGGATAAGGGGAGGATAAGGGACGGAGGAAAGAGACAAACTGAGGACGAGAGGGGGGGGAAGAGAGGCGCGAACGGGGGAAGATGGAAAGGGGGGAGAGGGAAGCGGAGGAAGGAGGGAGGGGATGGACGAGGTGGGAAAGAAAGCGAAAACGAACCAGGGTCCGATAAAACGAGACCACGACCCAGGGGCCGACAAAACGAGACAACGAGAAAACAAACCAGTGCCCGAGAAAACGAAACCACAACCCAGGGGCCGAGAAAACGAGACAACGAGAAAACAAACCAGGGCCTGAGAAAGCGAGAACACAACCCAAGGTCAAAGAAAACGAGAAAAAAAAAAAACGATCAAAATACCCAGGGCCCGAGAAAACGAAACAAAAATCCAGAAGCCAAGAAAACGAGAAAACGAGACAATGAACCAGGGTCAGAGAAAACACGATAACGACCCAGGGGCCGAGAACACAAGAAAACGATAAAACAAACCAAGGTCCGTACGAGCAAACGAGACCACGACCCAGGCCGAGAAAACGCGAATATCGGTCCTAGAAAACGAGACCACGACCCAGGGGCCGAGAAAACGAGAAAACGATAAAAAGGAATCAGGGCCCGAGAAAACGAGACTACGAACCAGGGGCCGAGAAAACGAGGCAACGAGAAAACAAACCAGCGTCCGAGAAAACAAAACCACGACCCAGGGGCTGAGGAAACAAGAAAACGAGAAAACTAACCAGGGTCCGAGAAAACGGGACCACGACCCAGGCGCCGAGAAAACAAGAAACGAGAACACAAACGGGGGCCAAAGAAAACGAGACCACGACCCAGGGGCAGAGAAAACGAGACAACGAACCAGAGTCAGAAAAAACGAGGCCACAACCCAGGAGCAGAGAAAACGAGAAAACAAAACAACTAACCATGGCCCGAGAAAACCAAACCACGACCCAGGAGCAGAGAAAACGAGAAAACGAACCGGAACAGAGAAAACGAGACCACGATCCAAGAGCCGAGAAAATAAGAAAACGAGAAAACGAACCGAGGTCCGAGAAAAAGAGACCACGACCAAGGGGCAGAGAGAATGCGAAAACGATAAAACAAACCAGGGCCCGAGAAAACTGGACCACGACCCAGGGGCCGAGAAAACAAGAAAACGAGAAAACGACTAAGTGTCCGAGAAAAGAAGAACACGACCTAGGGGACGATAAAACAGGAAAACAAGACAACGAATCAGGGTCAGAGAAGACGAGACCACGACCCAGGGGCCGAGAAAACGGTAAAACAAGACAACGAACCAGGGGCCGAGAAAACAAGACAAAAACCCAGGGGCCGAGAAAGCGAGAAAACGAGAAAACGAACCGGGGCCTGAGAAAACGAGACCACGACCCAGGGGCCGAGAAAACGAGAAAACGAACCAGGGTCACGGAAAACAAAACCACAATCCAGGAGCCGAGAAACGGAGAACACGAGAAGCCGAACCAGGGTCCGAGAAACCGGGACCACGATCCAGGGGCCGAGAAAACCAAAAACGAGCCAGGGTCAGAGAAAACGAGACCACGACCAAGGGGTCGAGAACACGAGAAAACAAGAAAAATGACACCACGACCCAGGGGCCGAGAAAACAAGGAAACGAGATCATGAACCAGGGCAGGAAAAAAACAACACACCAAAAACGAGAAAACGAAGAAGAAAACAACGAACCAGGGTCCGAGAAAACGAGACCACGACCAAGGGGCCGAGAACACGAGAAAACGAGGAAAAAAAAAAAAGTCCGAGCAAACGAGACCACGACCCAAGAGCACAGAAAACGCGAAAACGAAGAAGGGTCGAAAAAAACCAAACCACGACCCAGGGGACGAGAAAACAAGGAACCGAGATCATGAACCAGGGCCTGAAAAAAAACACACACAAAAAAACGAGAAAACGAAAAAGAAAACAACGAACCAGGGTCCGAGAAAACGAGACCACGACGCAGGGGCCGAGAGCACGAGAAAACGAGAAAACGACTAAGTGTCCGAGAAAAGAAGAACACGACCTAGGGGACGATAAAACAGGAAAACAAGACAACGAATCAAGAAAACGAGACCACGACCCAGGGGCCGAGAAAACGATAAAACAAGACAACGAACCAGGGGCCGAGAAAACAAGACAAAAACCCAGGGGCCGAGAAAACGAGAAAAGGAGAAAACGAACCGGGGCCTGAGAAAACGAGACCACGACCCAGGGGCCGAGAAAACGAGAAAACGAACCAGGGTCACGGAAAACAAAACCACAATCCAGGGGCCGAGAAACGGAGAACACGAGAAACCGAACCAGGGTCCGAGAAACCGGGACCACGATCCAGGGGCCGAGAAAACAAAAAACGAGCCAGGGTCAGAGAAAACGAGACCACGACCAAGGGGTCGAGAACACGAGAAAAAAAAAAAAACTAGCAAGAGTCCGAGGAAAAATGACACCACGACCCAGGGGCCGAGAAAACAAGGAAACGAGATCATGAACCAGGGCCCGAAAAAAACAACACGCCAAAAACGAGAAAACGAAGAAGAAAACAACGAACCAGGGTCCGAGAAAACGAGACCACGACCCAGGGGCCGAGAACACGAGAAAACGAGAAAACAAAACAAAGTCCGAGCAAACGAGATCACGACCCAAGAGCACAGAAAACGCGAAAACGAACCAGGGTCGGAAAAAAACCAAACCACGACCCAGGGGCCGAGAAAACAAGGAAACGAGATCATGAACCAGGGCCCGAAAAAAAACAACACACAAAAAAACGAGAAAACGAAAAAGAAAACAACGAACCAGGGTCCGAGAAAACGAGACCACGACGCAGGGGCCGAGAGCACGAGAAAACGAGAAAACGACTAAGTGTCCGAGAAAAGAAGAACACGACCTAGGGGACGATAAAACAGGAAAACAAGACAACGAATCAAGAAAACGAGACCACGACCCAGGGGCCGAGAAAACGATAAAACAAGACAACGAACCAGGGGCCGAGAAAACAAGACAAAAACCCAGGGGCCGAGAAAGCGAGAAAAGGAGAAAACGAACCGGGGCCTGAGAAAACGAGACCACGACCCAGGGGCCGAGAAAACGAGAAAACGAACCAGGGTCACGGAAAACAAAACCACAATCCAGGGGCCGAGAAACGGAGAACACGAGAAGCCGAACCAGGGTCCGAGAAACCGGGACCACGATCCAGGGGCCGAGAAAACAAAAAACGAGTCAGGGTCAGAGAAAACGAGACCACGACCAAGGGGTCGAGAACACGAGAAAACAAAAAAACTAGCAAGGGTCCGAGGAAAAATGACACCACGACCCAGGGGCCGAGAAAACAAGGAAACGAGATCATGAACCAGGGCCCGAAAAAAACAACACACCAAAAACGAGAAAACGAAAAAGAAAACAACGAACCAGGGTCCGAGAAAACGAGACCACGACCCAGGGGCCGAGAACACGAGAAAACGATAAAACAAAACAAAGTCCGAGCAAACGAGACCACGACCCAAGAGCACAGAAAACGCGAAAACGAACCAGGGTCGGAAAAAAACACGACCACGACCCAGGGGCCGAGAAAACGAGGAAACGATAAAAGGAATCAGGGCCCGAGAAAACGAGACTACGAACCAAGGGCCTAGAAAACAAGAAAACGAACAAACGAACCGGAACAGAGAAAACGAGACCACGACCCAAAGGACCCAAGAAAACAAGACAAACAAACAAAAAAGCGAGAAAGCAAACCAGGCCCCGAGAAAACGAGACCACGACCCAGGAGCCGAGGAAATGAGAAAACGCGAAAACGACCCACGACCCAGGGGCCGAGATCACCAGAAAACGCTTGGTTCGAGAAAACGCGACCACGACCCAGGAGCCGAGACAACGACCACCACCCGGGGGCCGAGACAACGAGAAAACGGGAATACGAACCAGCGTCCGAGAAAAGAAAACCACAACCCAGGGGCCGAGAAAACGAGAAAACTAAGCAGGGTCCGAGAAAACTGGACCACGACCCAGGAGCCGAGAAAACGAGAAAACGAGAACGCGAACCAGGGTCAAAGAAAACGAGACCGCGACCCAGGAGCCGAAAAGACGAGAAAACAAGAAAACGAACCAGGGGCCGAGAAAATGAGAAAACGATAAAAGGAATCAGGGCCCGAGAAAACGAGACTACGAACCAGGGGCCGAGAAAACAAGAGAGCAAGAAAACGAACCAGGGGTCGACGTTATTCTCCAATTTCGTTGTCTAGCGCTGCGGTGCGCACCTGTCGTCAAGGATTCCGCCATTTTGCCAGAGCCCCGGAAGGGAGGGGGGGGAGGTAGCTTCGGAAGCCCCCCCTCCTTTGCACAGGAGGGGGGGGGGTAGCTTGAAGCCGCCCCCCCCTGTGTCCAGACCAAAAAAGGAAGGAGGGGTGGGGGTAGCTTCCGAAGCCCCCCCCCCGCCTTGAAAGGGAAGCCCGGGCTCACCTTCGGCTCCGGAAGAGGGAGGGAGGGGAGGGATAGCTTCGACCCCCCCCCTTTAGCCAGAGCCCCCCTAGCTTAGAAACCCTTCAGAAGAGAAGGGAGGGGGAGGGGTAGCGTCGGAAGCCCCCCCCTTTCGAAGGAAGGGGGGGTAGCTTGAAGCTAGGTCCCCCCTTTCAGTATTGAGTTCCGTACGTGCGCGCTCTTACGAAACTCTGATTTGGCTCTGGCCTGAAACTCTGGTTCATCTCTCTGGTTGAGCTGAAGCTCTGAATTTGCTCTGGTCTGGAACTCTGATTTAAGTCTGATTCAACTCTGGTTGGGGACAGAGCCGAATCAGAGTTAAATCGGAGTTCAGACCAAGGTTATTCAGAGTGTCGAGAAAATCATAAATGAAACAGAGTTCCGGGCCAGAGTTTAATCAGAGTATGATTAGAATTTGTTGAATTCAATGTTTGAGGCGAGGTTGCCTCCAAAACACACGCTCAAAGCAAGCCGAGGCGGCCAACGCCGAGGCCTGGCTTCGCCGACTCTGCCACCGCGCTCGGGGCGCGCTGCACTCCTGGCCCGCGTCCTCCTCCAGCTGCTGCTGCTGCCGTGGGCAGGTCTAGGCCAAGGACTGGTGCCTCAACCCCGCCAGAATGGAATGCTGAAGGGCGGAAGCATTTTCAGCGTGGGCTGCTTGCGGCCGATCGACCCAGAGGGGGTACCCGGAGGCGAGGGAGAACGACACGGAGCGGGGACGACCCGAGAAGGGAGGGACGGAGGAAACGCGGAACGGGCGAAGCAGGGGGGTAGTCATCAACACCCCCACCCCCGAAGCACTCCTCCTCCTCCTCCCCAAACCTCCGATGTCGTCACTGCTGCCGCGAGGCCCTTCCTGGAAAGCTCCGTGCAACGTCGGAAGAGGATGAAGAAATGCCCTCGGTCCGTCATGGGGCAGCGCCCTGGGCAAGCAGTAACACATTGGTTCTAGGCCTGCTCGGTCGTCGTCGTCGTCGTTGGATCATTTGACCGTCCTCTCCAAATCCGTCCACATCGGCAGAAGCCTGTTGTTGAATCGTCCGAGATGAAGGCCTGTCTCGTGTGGTCCGAGCAGATGGGGTCGGAGGATCGCGCCGCATCGCCGATGCATCGCCGATGCACCGACAACGTCGGCGGCGCATCACCGCGGTCGCCGTGGAGAACATCGAACTCCGCGCGGACCCGCATCGCCGAGTACATCGGCGATGCGGCGCGATCCTCCGGGGCCCCAAATCTGCCCCAGCCCCGTGCGGAAGGCCTGGCCGAGACAAGGGCGCAACATGGCCGAGGCCCGCGCGTGCCGGCCTCCGCGTCCACGCGCGCGACGACCTCGGCCGCGACGCGCTGGGACCAAGATCTCCGACAATATGTTTTGTTCAATCCTGCCCCCCCCCTTCAATCCTCTGGTTTGCCTCTGCTTCCCCCGCTTCCCGCCCCCATCCTGCCCCTGACTCCCTCTTTGTGCCTCTGGCTCGCTCTCTCTCTCTCTCTCTCTCTCTCTTTTCTCTCTCTCTCTCTCTATTTTCTCTCTCTCTTTCTCTCTCTCTCTCTCTCTGCTGTTCTGCCTCTCTCTCTCGTTCTCTCTTTCTCTCTCTATGAGTGGGACAAATTCCAGCACAATATGTGGAAATAAATTACTTTGTCAGGTTAAGTGAATTAATGTCCCAGAATTTGTTAAACAAGAAATAGTTACTTCAGTTTCTGAAGCACATTTAGCATCTTTAATGTACTTACATTGAATAGTTTATGATAAATGCAGCGTATTGAATGTGTTTAAATTGTTTAACTACTTAAATTCAGTTAGTGCATTGTCTTCGGCATCCCTGGCGGAGATTCTGGCCAGTCTCAGGCGCAGCAGAATTAATTTAATGTATCAAATCAGTCCTAGCGGATTAATGAAATAAAATACATAACATAAAAGAAGGACACATAGGGCGCCACCCTGAGGTTCACCAGAATCTCCGCCAGCGAGGCCGAAAAATAAAATAATGAAGTTAAGCAAATGGAGTGAACAGACATTATGCAATATATTCAATTCAATGTGTATATGTCTTACTTCATTCTATCGAATACTAAAATAAACTTACCGCGTTCAATATATCTAACTCATTCAACTTATCTAAATTAGTCAATGGATTGAATGTATGTTCCCCGGCCTCCCTGGCAGGAGATTGTGGCTAGCCTCAGGCGCAGCAGAATAAATGCAATGTGTTCAACTAACCCTGGCGGGTTAATTATATAAGTTAAACAAATGAAATAGATATGGCGGTCCCCCGAGTTTCATCGGGATCTCCGCCAGCGAGGCCGAACAATCAACTAAACAAATTAAACACATAGAACGAATCAAATACATTGAATAAAATAAATAAATAAGGCGTATCTGAATTATCTCATTTCTTTAATTCAATCATACGGAACTGAAGTAATTACTTTAACTAATCGAAATAATTAAACAAATTTTCTGAACTCCTACCGCAGAGCCTCCGGCGAGCGCTGAGATTAGCAGAATTAATTTCTTCAATGTAATTGATCTCTACAGATCAACTAAATCAATTAAATTAGTTAGATTAATTGTGCTGCCCCCCGCGCTCGCCAGAGCCTGTATGCGAGGCACAGACAGCAATCCAATCAATTACATTAGTTCAATTAATATGTAGTGATTGGTTTAATGAATTGAATTAGTTATGCTGCTCGCCGCGGCCTCTCTGGGTATGAAGCTGCGACTCCCAGGTGCACTATTTAACCACGTTTCCAAAACACATTTTTGTAGAACACAGATTCGTCAGATAACAGATTATTGAATCTATTTAATTCGTCAGATAACAGATAACATATTCGTAAGGTAAATGCTACGTATTGAACTTGTTTGATTACACTAACTAATTTAATTTAGTTACTGCATTGTTTCCGGCATCCCTGGCGGAGATCCTGGCCAGTCTCAGGCGCAGCAGAATTGATTTAATGTATCGAATCAGTCCTGGCGGATTAATGAACTTAAATAACTTTAAAAAAGGAAATGAAAACATAGGGCGCCACCCTGAGGTTCGCCAGAATCTCCGCCAGCGAGGCCAAAAAATAAACAAATTAAATCTAATAAATAAAGTTAAACAAATGGGGTAAACAGACATTATGCAATATATTCAATTCAACTTGTTTTTTTACTTCATTCTATCGAATACTTAAACAAATTAACCGAGTGAAATATCTCTAAGTCATGTAACTTATCTAAATTATTTAATGTATTGAATGTATGTTCTCCGGCCTCCCTGCAGGAGATTGTGGCTAGCCTTAGGCGCAGCAGAATAAATGCAATGTATTCAACTAACCCTGGCGGGTTAATCATATAAGTTAAACAAATGAAATAGATATGGCGGTCCCCCGAGTTTCATCGGGACCTCCGCCGGCGAGGCCGAACAATCAACTAAACAAATTAAACACATAGAACAAATTTAAGTACATTGAATAAAATAAATAAATAATAGGGCGTATCTGCTTCATCTAATTTATTTAATTCAATCATAAGGAACTGAAGTAATCAATTCAAGTAATCGAAATAGGTTAACAAATATTCTGAGGTCCTACCGCAGAGCCTCCGGCGAGCGCTGAGACCAGCAGAATTAATTTATTCCATGTAATTGATCACTACATATTAACTAAATCAATAAAATTAATTAGATTAATTGTGCTGCTCTCCGCGCTCGCCAGAGCCTGTATGCGAGGCACAGACAGCAATCCAATCAATTACATTAGTTCAATTAGTATGTAGTGATTAATTAAATTAATTGAATTAGTTATGCTGCTCGCCGCGGCCTCTCTGGGTATGGAGCAAACTCTCAGGCGCACTATTTAACAACGCTTCCAAAACACATTTTCGTAGACCACAGATTCGTCAGATAACAGATATGGTGCATCACAAATGCGCGAAATAACAAATTTGTCCGAAATCAGATAACATACTCACATGTTTGCGAGATAACAGACTTGTCCGATAACAGTCATGCCTGATTTCCATGTTTACCATCTACAAAACTTGACCAACATTCTGAACTACAGAAGTCATATGGCCTATATGTTATGTTTGCTAACCAACATGTTTGTCATATCATAGCTTGGCCGGGTAATATACGACACATTCGCACGTTTGCAAGATAACGAATTTGTTTTGTTCAACATGTGTAAGACAATTAGCTCGCCATTTAACATATCTACCGGGTAACATGCTTATCGCGCAAAGAATTAACCCTACAACGGTTGTTATGTTTAGCATATGTACCAACTACCAGGCGCGCCATTCAGCTTATTTGCCATGTACCGGATGTGCCTGATACCAGATGAATCATATAACAGATTTGCCAGATGACATACACCACATCTGTATATCCGGAATGCATAATCCGCCCGGCAGAAACTGAGGAGGAGGAGCAGCAGGAGGATGAGGAGGAGGAACCAAATAAGGGAACATGTGGAGAGGAGGAAGAGTGGGCCAGAGGGGCGGAGTCCGGGGGGCCTGGAGAGTCCGGAAAAGGGGGGAGGGAGGGGCAGGGGAAGAAAGAAGGGCGGGAGAGGCGCCGGGCGGCGCCGACGGCTCGACAGCAGGTCGCCCCCAGCCGCGCGGACAGGCAGAAAAAGGGGGAGCAGGAAGAGAAAGAGCAGGGGCGGAGGCGGGGCGCGGCCACCCACGAGCACACTCCCGCCGGAGCCGACTGGGCTCTCTCAGGTCCCCAACACATCGCTGTTGATCAGCACGAACCTCTGCCGCGTGTCCACTTGAATCCGCGGCGTCCAGGGGAGGGGGGGGCGTGACGCCAGGACGCAGATTATACTCACAAACTCCCGATCAACCGCACAGCCGACTAGTTAGACATGAGTGGCCTGTGGCGAGCTGGAGTTTGCAGATGTTGCGATGCGCGTTTGTCTGATCACAGAGTTGTCACATGACAGATTTGCAAGATAACTGATGTGCCAAAAAACAAGTTGCCCGATAGCATGTTTGCCAGATAACAGCCGGCATATTTGCACGTTTGCAAAATAACGGACATGCCAAAACATTGTTCTTGACTAGCGATCATCTTGAGAGAATCGGTGGCTTTCGGAAACTCGGTCGCCACCACTGGCGCGAAGATGGCGGCGAATCGCGCGTCGTGGACCGGACCAGAGAGCTACCCTCCTCCAAGGTAGCCTCCCGGCCACGCGATGACCTCGCAAGGGCGCGAAGATAACCGCGCGGGGCGCTGCCTCCCTCTCCCCTTTCCTCGTCGTTGTAGCCGTTGTCCTCGTTGTCGTCGTCGTCACCGTCGCCCTCGGTGTCGCCGCCGCTGTCGCCGCCGTCGTCGCCGTGGCCTCTTCGCCCTCCCCCGATGTTTCTGCCTTGACAACATTGCTAGTCAGAGTCGGAGCGCTTGGTTTTTCGCACTTGTCCTGCTTCGCCTCTCGCCGCCACGTCGCTTGCTGATTGGAGGGCGGAGTTCCAGGCGGCGCACGCAAAGCCGCTACCTGCGGACCTCGCCCACGCCGTGGCGAATTTCTTGACGATGAAGCGCCTATTCAAAGCCAGTTTGGGGCTCATGCTGCTGGTCGCCTACCTGAAAATGCCCTCTCCGAGAGATGCATTTGCAGAGGCGTGGACAAGCCGTGGCCAGCTGAAGCAAGAGGACCGCGTTTTTCTCGCGCTTCAAGAAGTTGCGCGGAAAAAAACGGTGAGCCACGCGACGACGAAACGACCGAGACCGGTGGACCCCTTCACGCCCACGGGTGGCAAGCTACTTCAGAACCTCTACATGGTGGGCCGCGCAGGGTCGCACCAGCGAAATCCATTTCTCCTCGGCGTCGGGAAGAAAGCCTTTAAGCTGATGCCGATGTCACCACGGGCGAGACGTGGCATCCGCTCGTTTCTGGCCTTGCATTCGGTGATTGAGACGATTCTGACATACGGGCCTCCTGAGAACGTCCACGACTGGGGTCGCCCTGCTACGTCCATGTCGCTCGCCTTCAAACATCACGAGGTTCCTGGGCTCATGTCAGGCATGGGCACGTATTGTGTCGACTGGGTGATCCGGTCATTTCAGGTGCCCTGGATGAGGGCGGAGGGCCGCGACCGTCTCTCCTTGTCCCGGGCCGACAAGGTCCTAGACTTGAACGGCCCAGACGACAACCAAGGAAAACGCAAGGCCACCGCTTCTAGTTCCATGTCTGTTTCTAACCCCTTGCAACCCCATGCAACGCCAGACAACGCAACGCAATACGCCAATGCAACGGGATGCTTTCCACTAGTTGGGTTCGCGCCGGTGCCCCAATAACATGCAGCGAAAAGGCGATTCATAATGTTAGTTATGACGTGCCTCTCCAGGCGACGGTCGCCCTGACTGGCCTGACTGGGGCCTCGGGGGCCATGGTCGCGTTCGCCCGGCTGCAGTACGAAGGGCCGCCCGAGCTAGTCAGCGCGCACCCTCCCTGCCGGACTCCCAGTGGCCTCTCGGGCGGACCATTTGAAGCCCCTGGAGGCCTCCACAAGCCCCAAGGTGGCAAAAAACGTCAACACAGCCTCGATGCTCGCTCGGTCCTCGCCCCTGGCGGGAGGGTTTCTTCGCGGCCGTTCGTCTCAGAGCTCACACTGGGGAGCGCGCCCGCAGCGATCTCGCACCAGCACTGGGACAGGGAAGGTACTCAGTGGGGGTAGAAGCGGGGCCTTCCCAGCAGGGCCACGAGGCCCACCAGGCGGGCTGAGGCAGGAGTGGGAGGAGGAACGCGAGGTGGATGAAGACGTGGGGGAGGAGGAGGGCGGAGCAGGGCGGAGGAGGAAGGAGGAAGAAGGAGAGGGGAGAAGAGGAAGGAGGAAGGAGGGAGGAGAATGAGGAGGAGGGAGAAAGGGAGGGCGGAGGGAGGGAAGGCTGAGGACAGACGATGATGATGAGGAAGAGGAACAGGAGGAGCACTGGGTGAGCAAGAGGACCAAAGCGACGACACGGACGAAGAACAGTAAAAGAAGCAGCCAGCCCCACCTACCCCCGAGGCGGCCACCCCGCGGTCTCCAGCGCCGAACTCGTGGAACTGGCGGCCAGGTAGCACGCAGACCCTGCCAGGTGGGGGGGGGGCGGGGGGGAAGCATCAGCAGCTGGGTTTGTTATTCCCTCACCTTGCCAAGCTCTTCCTCCTCCGCCTCACAACCACACTCCTCCTGAAACCACTTCCACCTGCTCCTGCTCCTCCGCCTCCTCCTCCTCCTCCTCCTCCTCCTCCTCCTCCTCCTCTTCCTGCGCCACCTTCCTTTCCGCGCCTCATAACACCTCCCCCCTTTTCCTCGACCTCATCCTACCCCTCCCCTTCCTCGTTACTCTATCGTCGCCACGAGAACCCTCTTCGTCACCACCGTGGTCGCCACCATCGTCGCCACCAGTATCCACTGCGCACCTGTACAAGGGTGGTGATCAACATGTTGCTCTATTGTTGAATGTGGCCGCGTCACCAGAATCTCATTCCAACAGCTGGATCGGATTGAATTCCCTGGTTGGGGCCAAACCTTTTCCTGATGATGTGCGTTGTTGCGGCGATATTGACAATACGTGTGTGCGTTCCGCTTATTCATCTCAAGTCGCTCGAGGTCGGCCCCTCTATACGCATCAGGTTCCGTAGGTTGCTCCTGTTTGAACTCTCGTTCCATCGCGTTTCACCGCACTGCATTCATTATAAATCCCACGCATGACATCATGAACCAATCACGTGGGTCAGCCCATTTGCATTGCTGGTCGAATCCCTATCCGACGTAACTGACGCAACCACCGCATTTTGCCTGGAGGGCTGTCTCAACGAAACCGCGTTCATATTATGGTTCAAAGCAGCGGCATGAGTCACACAACGGTTCCATGGTTGAACCGTACCACTAGTCACGGCTGCCTGGGAATAGCAGATTATTCGGCATGCCGAGATGCTTGAGCTATTGCCATACAGCTTCACTCCACCACTATGACACTTCAGCGGATTCCCCTTCAATGTAGAAAATTTGCAAGAACAAGGACAACATGCTCGGATCCGCTTCAAGCCACCTCGCCTGAAACAGCGCGTATTGTATATATCTTGAGCGAAATTGCAACGGGTAGCCTGAAACTCCCTGGCACTTCGCCCGGCGCATGGTGAATCCTCCTCTCCCTTTTCTGTTTCTTCTTCTTAGTATCCTTTTCATTAGTCATGCAAGTCATATTATTAGTATTGCCACTATTCTTATGTGCTTGCTTACGGTGGTTATTGCGATTATTCTTCTTATATTCTAATTATTCGTATTATTATTGTTCCTCCTCCTCCTCGTCCTCCTCGTCCTCCTCCCCCCCCTTTTCTTCCTCCGCCTCCTCCTTTTCCTCCTCCTCATCCGCCTCCTCCTCCTCCTCCTTCTCCTCCTCATCCTCCTCCTCCTGCTCCTCCTGCTCCTCCTCCTCCATCCCTTCTCCTTATAGATAACGTCTCCCTGCCGCACCCCAAGGCCAGTATTCAGGGCGGGCAGGGCGTTTCGCCTGAGACTCCTCACCGCTTATGACTCTGAAGCTGAAAAGGTGACAACAGTTTCACGAATTGAGGGCGGGTCGTTTTCAAAAGGTGGTTTTCGCCAGAGCGCCGCGCACATTCGATGTCAATATTTGCAAGATGTCCACTGCTTCCCATGATCGACGTACCAGAAATGGCGTCCTGGACGGATTCCAGATTTTGCGGGTGCAACATTAATGTTGATTCGCGGTGTTGAAGTCCCCAAAAAAGGCGCTCTGGCACGACTCCGGATCGTCAAGACGCAGCAGTCAGGTTGATACGTGGCGTTGGAATCCCGGGAAGAATGTTCTGGCATGCATCAACATCTTCAAACGGTTGTCTTCCAACGAGAAAGTTCTCTCAATGGAAATGAACCGTTGCAGGGGCCTATGCAGAGGGAGTCTGGGAGGAGGGTTAATTCCAACATCGTTGATGACTCTTGGGTTTGCACTGGTCCTCCTCCTCCTTTTCCTCCCCCTCCTCATCCACCTCCTCCTGCGTCTCCTCCTCCTCCCCGTCCCTCTGTTCCTCCCCCTCCTCATTCCTCAGGGTCCTCCTCCCCCCTCTCCTCCTCCTCCTCCTCCTCCTCCTCCTCCTCCTCCTCCTCCTCCTCTTCCTCCTCCTCCTCCTCCTCCTCCTCCTCCTCTTATTATTATTCTTATGTTTCTTATTCTGCTTATTCTAATTATTATTATTAGTAGTAGCATTCTTATTCTTATTATTATTAGTATTATTAGTATTACTATTATTATTATTAGTAGTAGTATTCTGATTCTTATTATTATTATTAGTATTATAATTATTGTTTATAAATATTATTATTAATAATAATATTAGTATTAATATTATTATTGGTATTATTATTACTATTATTATTGATATTATTATTAGTATTATTATTACTATTAGTATTATTATTATCCTTATTATTATTCTTATTATCCGTTTTTTCTTCTTATGCTTCTTCTTATTATTAGTCTTATTCGTGTTCTTATTAGTATTATTATTATTAGTAGTATTATTCTTATTTTTATCATTAGTATTATTTTTGTTAATAATAATATTAATAGTAACATTATTATCAGTATTATGATTACTATTATTATTGATAATATTAGTACTAGCATTATTATTACCAGTATTATTATTATTTTCAATATTATTATGATTAGTAGTAGTAGTAGTAGCAGCAGCAGTAGCAGTAGTAGAAGTAGTAGTAGTAGTAGTAGTAGTAGTAGTAGTAGTAGTAGTAGTAGTAGTAGTAGTAGTAGTAGTCTTATTACTAGTATTCCTCTTTTTAGTATTCCTCCTCCTCCTCTTCCTCCTCCTCCTCCTCCTCCTCCTCCTCCTCCCCCTCCTCCTCTCCTCCTCCTCCTCCTCCTCCTCCTCCTCCTCCTCCTCCTCCTCCTCCTCCTCCTCCTCCTTTTCCTCCTCCTCCTCCTCCTCCTCCTCCCCCTCCTCCTCAAGCCTCGGATCGTCAAGCCCCCGAGCCCCGAGACCTGGAACCCTTCGACGCCTCGTCGGCGGCAGGCGGCAGGCGGCGGCCCGGGGCGCGCCTCGCGCCAGGGGCCAGGCCACCGCCGCAGCCCGCGGCATGAGAGGGCGCGGGCCCTCTCCGCTCGCTGGCGGCCTTCGGGGGCACCGGCCCTTCGGGGCTCGCCGTCGTCGTCGTCGTCGTCGTAGTCGCCCTCGTCGTCGTCGTCGTCGGCACTTGGGGGCGGCCACCCCCCATTGCGCTCCACGCGAGGCACCGCCCGCCCACCCGCCCAAAGCCGCCCCTTTCGAACGACCAAAGAAAGACGGCGGCGGCCGATGCGGCGGCTCCGAAGAAAATGCCCCGGAATGACCGAAATTATCGTGGCCATGGTTTCCGGACGGATACTGACCTGTCATGTAGCTCGCCCGCGTCTTGGAAGCAGGGTTAGAGGGGGGGCGATGGGGGGGGGAACGAGGAGGAGGAGGAGGAGGAGGAGGAGGAGGAGGAGGAGGAGGGGGAAGAGGAGGAGGAGGAGGAGGAGGACGACGACGAACGAAGAGGAGGAAGAGCAGGAGGAGGAGGAGGAGGAGGAGGAGGAGGAAACGGAGGAGGACGAAGAGGAGGGAACAAAAATAATAATACGAAAGGGGAGGAGGGGGAGGAGGAAGTGGGGGAGGCGACGAGGAGGAGGAGGAGGAGGAGGAGGAGCGGAGGTGGAGGAGGGAGGGGGAGGAGGAGGAGGGGAGGAGGAGGAGGAAGAGGAGGGAGGATGAGGAGGAGGAGGAGGAGGGGGAGGAGGAGGAAGAGGAGGAGGAGGAGGACGACGAGAGGAGGAGGAGGAGGAGGAGGAGGAGGAGGAGGAGGAGGAGGAGGAAGCGCGCGCCCAGAAGGACGAGGAGGAGGACAAGAAAGAGGCCCCCGCAAGCGCGCATGCGTGGCCGCCCCCCGCTCAGAGGGCGCCCGCCCGCTCGCGCTTGCGGGGGTTTCGCCTCTGCTGCGCAAAGGGCCATAGAATTATGGCGCAGATGACGTTCTGGAAGAAGGCGAGGAGGAGCAGGAGGATGAGGAGGGGACGAGGAGGAGCGAACGTCACCTGGGAGGGCGACGGTCTGTTCGGCCGCGCCGCGGCGCGCTGGCTCCCCCGGCCAGATCAGCGGGAAGATGGAGAGCGCGGCGCGCGGCGGAGATGGCGGAGGTCTGCTTGTTGTAGTCCATGGGCTGGGAGTCGTCCTTCGTGAGGTGGTACGCCCTGATGGCCACGCTGAGGCGCGCGACTGAGTGGTGGACGCCATTCTCGCCGTCGAAGGGCTCGACCAGGCCGGGCAGCGCCATTCGCGTGAGGAAATTGGCGCTCAGCTGGCACCGCGGAGGGCCCAGCTGGTGCCACATTCTCTCGCATGCGAGGCAGTGCTGGATGCTGTCGAGCGCTTTCAGTGCAGCCCGCAGCCTCGATAGAGGCAACGTCACGAGGTAGGTGCGCAGCCGCTCCCAGCGCGCTTGTAGATCCTCTGGAACACGCTGGAATTGCAGCAAGTCAGCGGGCGCAGGTACTTCACCTGGAGATGATTCGATGTCCACGTTACGGTCGTCGTCGTTGTTGACCTCATTGATGACGATGTGATGCGGCAAGAAGTTGGTGACCCAGCGACGACGAGTACGGTGCTGAGCAGCTTGACCTGTAAACAGTGCGGCATGGCTGCGCTGGCCCCCCTGGTTGTCGGTCACTCTCGTGAGGCGACGCTCGAGAAGAATGCAGCCGATGCCAGCGTTGTCCCAGGTCTGCTCGCACATGGCGACGGCTAGGCGGCGCCGTTGCGAGTCCGCGGTGTACATGGGGGCGGATAGATCGGTGCCGAGCAGGTCGTACAGGTACGAGGTGCACCACTGGAACCAGTCTTCGCGGTTGTCGATGCTTCTGTCTCGCAACAGGATGCCAGGAAGCCAATGAGACGCCCGCGCTCACGCTCGCGTGAGAAGTCGCTCTGGAGCACGCTCGGCTTCTCGGCGGGGGCCGTTCGGCGGCTCGCGGGTGAAATGCCTAGCGGGATCCAGCACGGGGTACCACTCGAGGAGACGACGCTTGATTGTGTCAGGCATCGTGTCAGAATAGAGCTGCCCGTTCAGCGTCACCACGCAGGCTTCCTGGGGCGATAACTCGGCAGACTTGTGTCGAGGAGGTCGGGTGGTCAGAATGTTGTTGTTGCTGTTGTGCTTCATTACGTTGAAGAATGGCTTGTAGGCCTGGACGCGCAGCACGCTTGCGAGAGCCAATCATTGCAGCGCGAGCTCGTGGGAGAGGACCCGCCGCGCGGGTCTGGCGTTTAAGGAAGGTGAGAACCGTTGCAGTCAGCGAAGAGCGTGGAGTTGGCGTTGCCCCCGAAGCGCTGGATGATGGCGGTCTTGATTTCCCAGCAGTCATTGCACCACTGCCCCTTTCACTACAGAGACGAGAGGCAGCTGGTTGTAGGCTGCGTCACATACCTTCGCGCGCGCGCTCCTCCGCTCTGCCACAGTGGCAGAAGCGGTTCTCCAGAGGGTAGCTGCCGCGTAAGTTTCGATGCCGATGGGTGCTTCCACCCTGGTCCAGCGGGGCATCGGAAGGGCGTCGGATTTGGCGAAGCTGGATGGGGCGACGCGCAGCAGCTTGTGGATAGCTGGCAGCTCTTTCTGGAGGATGCCCTCGGGGGGCTCGAAGAACTGGGCGACGTGCCCCAGGCAGGTGACAGCGGCGACGTTGTAGAGCTCGACACATTGCTGGATTGAGGCATGTGATACAGCGAGCTTCTCGACGCGATCCCACGATTTGGCTGCGGGGCCACGCCATTGGTCAGCTAGGGAAGCTCCAGGGCCGACGAAGAAACCGAGGTAGCGGGCCTTGGGCTTGATCTTGAAGTTGAACCAGGGAGAGCGGGCCGCGGCCAGTACGCGACGCATCTCGTCGATGATGCCTGGAGAAGGCAGCGCCCATGCGGGTGCGACGATGCACTTCTTGGCCTGAAGGTGTAAGCCAACAAGCGCCTCGGCCGCGGAGTGCTGGGGCGATCGTGCTGACGTTACCGAGTCCGGCGAGAATGATGTCTAGGTCGTCGGCACAGGCGCTGACGAGGCCGCGCTCGATGGCCTTGAGCTCGGAGCTGACGGCGGCGATGATGGGGTCGAAGACGAGGGCCCAGATGGCGCCGCTCAATGGGCATCCTTGAGCTGCGCCTGAGGCTGCGATGAGCAGAAGGCGCCGCTCTGCTCCCATGTCCAGGAACGAGACGGGCCAGTAGTAGCAGGCCTGGACGAGACGCACCATGTTGCCGTGGACGCCCCAGCGCGAGAGCGTGTCCCACATCCACTGGTGGCCGAGACCCGGGAAGGCGGCCGCGATGTCCATGCTGACGAAGACGGGCATGTCTGTCGATGCTGATGGTGATCGACTGAGCTGTGCGGCGGCATCGCCCACCACGACAACAAGGTTAAACAACTGGCGGCCAGTGACGAAGCCCTGCTGCTCGGGAGACGTCTGGGCGGCGAGGGCGCGGAGCTCGCGACTCGCGGCGGACGCCAGCAGCTTCACATCCGAGCTCTTCATTGATAGCGGAGGGAGGCGCCCTAGAGCACGCGCGCACTCAGCGCTGCCAAGCGGCTCGTCGCCTTTCGGCAACATGGCCATGAGAGAGTAGTTGAGGTCGCGCGGGGCATTGATGTTGGCGACGATGTCATAGCAGACGCCGGCAAGGACATCGAAGCTGTTGGGCGCGCGGAGCCGCGCCTTGCATGGATGAGCGTCAGGACCTGGAGCGGAGTCTCCAGCGAGCCTAGCGGCTTTCTCAAGCGCTCGAGCGCCAGGAAGGGGCAGATCGGCAAGCCGGAGCCGAGGGGAGACGGAGTTGAGGCACTCGGGGAGGCGTACGTGGTCCACGTGCTTCTCCGCAAAAACAAAGGCCCAGTGCCCGAGGGAAGACAGGGGTGAGGCACTCGGAGAGGCGCGCGTGGTCCACGTGCTTCTCCGCAAAAACAAGGGCCCAGTGCCGCATGAAGGCCCAGTGCATGGCTGCGGGGCCAGTCACTGTGTTAGTCGAGTTGCCAACGACGACCTCGATGCCCGACAGCACGAGGCGCTTGGAGAAAGGTCGCCACAGTTCTCCGCGAAGGCCTTCTCGTTTGGCGCGTTGGTGCCATTTCTGGCCAAGAGGGGCGTTGTCAGCTTCGCGGGCCGCTCTCGAACGAGCGGGTGCTAGCGCCTTCCTCTCGTCACTGAGACTGGCGCGCGTGGCGCCGGTGCCCTCCGCGAAGTCGTGCACGTCGTTGATGCTGACGATGCCCGCGACGATCTTCAAGTGGAGCTTGCCGATGTCGGTGCAAGCTGGACGTTCTGGTACCAGACAGCTGTGGCGATGCTGCGAAGAGACACGGCACGGACCTCGCGCGAAACCGATGCAGACTGCGACTGCAACTCAGCCGCGGGGATTTTGGAGAAGTGTCACACGCGCGGGCAGCGGCAACCTGCATGGCTGCCTTGAGAGAGCGCCACTTCGCGATGGGCGTGAGCGCAGACATGCCGACGTTGGCAAGGATATTCTCAACGTGGCGCTGGTAGCGCACGGTGTCGAAGATGCACGCGGGACTGCCTCGCTCGGTGGCTGGTTTGGGCTAGCGGGGGCGGATGCGTAGGTGCATGGTCTCGCGGTCGCCGATGGGGGCCTTGGAGTTCTCGAGCGGCGAGTCATGGGCGACATAGATAGTCTCCATGAAAGGCGCGAGGTGGTTCGGGAGGTTGGTGAACCATCGGTCGATCGCCGATTCCCTCATGTTGGCGTGCGATCTGCGCGTCGTGGGCGGAGTCGGGATCTCGATCATGCCACGGAACAGGGAGCGCCAGAAGACAGGCTGGCACTGGTAGCGCTGCGCAGCTGCGGCGTCCGCGCCCACGGGGGCGCCGATTGACTTCGGCGGAAACTCGGAGACGTTGAAGTCACCCACTATGACGAGGAGACGGCGTTGAGGTTGCTCGTTGGCATGCCGCCGACGAGCACGCCACTGGTCGCGAAGATGCAGTCGGTCAGCAGGAGCGAAGCCAGAGTTGTGGACGTTGAGAACGGCGGCTTCGAACTGGAGGCTGGCATCCGCGACTCGCAGCCAGGCGGCGCGGCCAGGGATGGCGACCT